GGCTGGTTAGATCGCATCTCTGCGTGATCCATCTCGGGACCCTTTCGCATGGATATTCCGAAATACTTCATGTGAAATGCGTATGATAATTTCCATCTCTATTTTCCGATTAACACATTATGTTAATTGATACGCAGAAAAAATATAGAAATTCCGTTCAATCGATTATGCTTTATTGGATCGTTCAGTTTTGTTATTGTTATTGATTCATGTAACATTGATTAGAACAATTCAATTATTTTTAAGAGGATGACACCGAAGCATATCGATTGTTACATTTTTTGGTTCGAGTACTAAATACTACTATAAATTTAAGTAAATACAAATTTAATAATTTGACTAAATACAAATTTAATTACTACTTTAAATTTGATAAAATCTGCTCGCACACTATAAATATCTCTCGCGTATGTTTGACAAATCATCTCTTCCGCCTTGGCTTTCTATCGTTTTCTACATATTCACATAATTTTCTCTATCCAATTAACCACGCGATCAATACTTTGGAAAATATGCTCATTAAAAACCAGTCGCATGTCGCGCACGCCACGCAAATTTACGCGAATCGCAATTCACGTATATATACGGTAACTCGGTACACGCCATAGATCCACGGTCGCTCTCTCTTTTAGCTCTGTTAGCCTCTGCACTCGACCGTTATATTTTTTCGCACCGTGAACGATATCATGGTTAAGACTTATTTTCCCCATTCGGATCGCGAGAGAGACGGCTCGGGAGCGCAAAGTGAAAGACGTCCGACTCGGAGAAGTAACGATGTCATGCCGATTAATTTGATCGCGCACACAGCGTGTTTACCACGGGCGGTCGGCGGGGCGCGTGCGCGTTTTTTAACCGGGGATCCATGGAACAAGTTCGCAAATATCTCTCTCTTGCTCCCGCTTCCTCGCGGCAGCCAGATCGCAATCAGTCTTGCCGGACTTTCATCAGATCGGGCCGCTGCGAAATGTATGTTTCGATGTACCCGCTCCGCTACTTCCGCGCGTGTTACTCGACCTTTGTTTGTGTGGCTCGTGTAGATACAGACGCGTCGATGCGTACCCTGTGTAGTGCGGCCAGCGATTAATGAGCCCTCGTCAGTCGCGTGCACGTGTCTGTCACTTGGACAGCATCCGGTACGGCAGCCGGCCGCGTCTATCGTCTCTCATGTCTCCCGTATAGGCGTACCTTTCTCTCTCTTTCCCCCTCGTTAATCGTCTATTACGGATTCTTTCCTTCAGATCAAGCGGATATCGGGAAACGTGTGTTCAACTATGCGCTGCTCTCGCCGTGCGATTGCATTAGCGAGCTAATTCATTTGCAGACGCTTATAATGCAGCTTACGATTAACTTAAAAACCAAGTCACTCTTATCTTGAAGATAGAAATAATTTCTAAGTTACACATATCTGCGATTTTAGAAACGATGTAAGTATACGCGTATTTCTTTTAATTCACATAATTATAAAATTGAAACACTTTTTTTATTTCTTGAGTATAATTTCAAAAATGTATGACTTGATCCATGTTCTATTTTAATTAATAAATAGCCTCTTATTTTCTCACACAAATATATTTATGTCTTTTTTTATAAAAGTAAAAAGTACTACGATTTATATTATTTCTTCTTTACATCCGGCGCTTACTGTCAATAAGAAAGAAAGTGATTCTAATTTGTTGAAATATTTTTTAAGAGGCAGCTTTTCAAACTAGTCTTGACATATACTAACAGTATGCGTATCAATGCGTGATCGTCCTAGTCGCGTGTAACGGAGCCCGCAATTGCGTCGCGAAAAATCATTGATAAAGTTAAAATTATTACACGGCGATGTACGGGGTGCGCGATAAACTTTTCAGAAAACGAGTGATATTGAGAGCGATGAAATTCAACGTATCCGCGTTCGCACTTAACGGCCTAATGCGAATTCCACGGCGATAAGCTCTGATTTACGTTCCCGCCGGAATCTCCCGTTTTCTTCGCCGATCGCTGAAAACATACATGGCTTTTCCGCGTGCAGAACGTAAGACACTAGCCGCGCGAATTAAATTGAGGGGGCAGTGTACGTATGTCCGTAAATCACGCAGTGAAAGTCGCTTAGTTTCGGCGCCAGATACATCTCTCGCGCGACATTTTATCCCGCTAATGAGACACATGGTTGACAGGCAAGAGAGCCCCCGATTCCTTATCGCGTGCATTATAAACGTCCGTTCTGTCGTCATGGTCACACTAGCTTTGTATTCTCTCTGTTGTTGTTGCTTTCGCACTGATTGGTCTTAGATCGCTAACAATGCGGTAATACTGGACGCTCGATGAAATTTCGCGATATCGCGCTTTCCCTTCGTACTATGTTTGTCCTCTTGAGTTTCGTCGCTATTTTACCTAGTCTTATGACTTGTTTTGCGTTTTTATTACGTGATTCGATTTTTATTTTGGGACATTCCATTGAAAATGTGCAACGGTTTTACGTATTATTGACACTGATATTATTGAGGATATTATTGACACTGTCAATGGGAGCTGCTGACAACTTATGCCAAGACATACCATATAATCTGTCGCGTGATATTTTAATGTACCGATGAATCGTAATAAAAGTTTATTTCACGCGATCTGTCAGAGCGCGACTTGGTTTATTTTTGTGTGTATATGTATCGTTATTTGTTATGTCTTTGAAGAACTTTTAACCTTAACTATAATAAACTTACTCGCATACATATACTTTTTATAATTAAGGATACCTAGTAACTGGGGCAATTCGTGTTCTCTCGTGTTCTTGTACATCATAGTTTATTGAACATGCAACGAGTCACGACAAGTGTCGTGTGGTGCATGCCCGCTTTAATGAAATAAAAGATTCAATGCCAAGTGTAAAAGTTTCTACGATTAGACTTATTGTTAGTGCTTCCTATCCGTTAGTTCCAGATTAAATTGCTATTTTTTTTAAATCTGTTTTGCTATTATCTGTATCAATTGAAAAAGAGTGTATATTTTATTTATTATCAAAAAGATTTTTTTCGAATAAAATAAAAGAACAATTTATACATATTGTAATTTAAAACCAAAAATATTTTCTGTGAACTAATAAATTTTTAAAATAAAATGTAAAAGCAATGTTGTATATTGTATTTATCCAATAGACGTAAAAAATCAAGCGTTATTATATAAAAAATTATTTGCAGATGGATTTAATTGTTTTATTTTCAAATTCGCCGCCTGCAATTTTTTTTTTCTTTTTTAGCATTTTGTGATAGATTTTCTAATTTTTTCTCTAATTGTATAATTTTACGCGAATATGCTGTCTCTAATTGTAATCTTTGAAATTTAATTCCTCTATGTGCTTTTTGTCTGAATCTGTAAAAAGGATTATATATAAATTATGAATATACAGAATGTCCCATAATTAATAAGTAGATCAAATTTATCGTATAAAAGAAAAATTGAACTAATGAGCAATCTTTCCTGTAACAATGTAACACGTTCGCAAATACATAACTGTCGGCAATATCAGAAGCGTTATCGCGATTTATTCCTTGGCCATCTCGATACATTGTAACGTTTAATTTAATATCCAGCCTCACGGCTCGTATCTTCTCATCTCGGAAGGAGAAGAGATCGCGCGTCGAAGGTGCGAGATTCTCTCGAGACTTGCACCTTGCAATAACGCCTACATATGTCGGCTCGTGACTATGTGGCTCGTGTAAGTAATTAGATGGTAGGATAGCGCAAATAAAGGGCGCTAAACGAATGCATACAATTATACTTCGTGTTCGCAATTAAAAGAGCGTAGCAAATGAAACGGGCTCGTTTGATCGTCCGCGATTTTCATTATCGAGACTGAAAGAGGCGGACGCGTGACTGCATTCCGCGGCAAAATGAAACTTTACCAAATAGAGTTAGTCAATTGGAAGATTCGACGACGAATCTTATCGGTTCATCAATGCATAATTAATTAACTCGCGGCAAAGTAATACTGATAATAACATGGATCGCATAATTTAAGAAATTTAAGGACATTCTCATTAGATATTGTTTGATATATTTTTTCATATACATATATCTAACTTGATTTTTTACTGGATGAATACAATATACAATATTGCTTTTACTTTTTTATTTTAAAAATTTATCTTCTATCTGATCGATCTACTATCAATTATGGGACATCCTGTATATTCATAACTTACAAATAATTTGATTGTAGTACACTTTATATGTGCAATATATTTAGATATTTTATTCTAACAGAATCAAACTAATTAATATATTTGCTAAAAATAAAATTTGATATCTTTTTTATATACCTCAGCTTATTTTTTAGAACAATTTATATATAAAAAAAGCGATGTTTTTTTATTTAAGATCACATATTCAAGTATCGTTACATGATTTAACTATAATTATCCAACATCGGGTTTGTTGCGGTTTATGTTGTAACATCTTAATATACAAAAGTATGTATTTCACGATGCAATCTCCGACGTTAACACATTCCGCGCGGAATATTCCACACCTTCTTTTGCTGTATACGAAACGCTTTGACTCCGTTTAAATTTGATTCGCGTTCTTGCTCATCAGGGCGCGTTCTTTAATAGAGAAAGGTAAAAAGGACAGTCACTGGCTGACTGCACGTTCTCTTAATTTTGGGTGTATCCTCACAGCATGAATTATTCTGTAATTAGCGTGATTAACGTGCGTTGTGTTGTAATTCTTTTCACTTTCGCGTGCAATTTATTTACGAAAATTCTAATTAGTTCTATTTGCACTATATTTTCTATTATACACTTTTCTTTTTTATCTTTAATTGTATCTTGTTTTTTTATACTTTTCTTATTTGCGAGAGAAAAGGAGTGTTTCTTACGTACAGAATATTCGGTAAAAACTACATGTACGGAAGTGCTTAAGAAACTCCATTCATATACGACGAAAATTACGATGATTAGCGCGAAAGCATATGAAGCTGATTAAGAAAGGAGATATAACGTGATCCATTTATCTGATTGTAGGGGAACGAGGCGGTGGTGCCCGAGGGCTGGCCCCTAACGTTAGGTGGCAGTGGTCTGATCCTGCATCTGGGTGAGCTCGAAGCGTCCGCGCTGCGTTTCGGGGAATGTTACCTCTGCGTACGCAGCGTGGCTGCTGCAACTACAATTGCAACCACCTCGTCGGTCAACGGCGTTAAGACTGCCGGTAAAGCCGCCGAGCAAAATACCGTTGAGGTGAGTCACGTCCTTTTTCGTTCTTTTTCTCTTTCTCTGTTTCCTTGTCGTCGCGAAAGGATCGTCGCGAGTGATGTTCTATGGATATCGCCGCGAGTGATGTTCTATGGATATTGCCGCGAGAGAACGACAACTTTGTCTTGATGACCGAGTCGAAGACTCGGCCGGAATTCCTGACGTTCCTTCCGAGCGATCGATCCTCGACATAAATATTATACCAGTCATCGCGTATGCGGATATAAGCACGTAATGGGACTCGCGTTATTAGATGTCCGTTTAAACCTCCCCCTCAGGTAATAAAAGACATCTCTTTAAGAACGCTGAAACGACATTGTTACGGTTATAACGTTTTCCTGTTCCTAGAATCGTGCCGAATAAGCCAGTTTACCGCGATAATAAGTTACAGCTAAATTTTTTTATTTATTTATATCTTTAGTCAGCTTAATTAGCGAAAAATCTTTTATTATCAATAGTTTAATCTCTGTGGGAAACTATTGCTATTTTAACATTTTTATTATGGGGAAAGAATTAACTTTAAATTAAAATTTGAAGCAATTTGTAGTCAAGAATTTCTTGATGTTATACTTGACGTAAATTCTGCGAATGGGTAAAAGTGCAACAGAGTTAAGAACAAAGCTATATACTACTGTTCGCAGATAGCAGTAGTCTGGCGAACTACGTCGATGAGGACTCCGGGGATCTTAGGTTGGGATCGTGAGGACGAGTTCATGGACTGGCGGGAATTGACGAACAAGGGTCAGACGAGCTCGTCAGCAAGCACGGCGAGCTCGAATCTCAGCGGGGCGCAATCCTCTGGCGCGATGAAGGCCACCGGTCGTCCGCGGCGAAGATCGCGCGAGGATGCGCGTCCAAGGACACGCGAGACCAGCAGCGTCGAGAATCGTCGGGAGGAGGCCAGATCGATCGACAGGCTCGAGCACCAATCTTGTCGTGAGAATCTCACGATCAGCAAGTCCGGTCGTACTACCACGGTGATGAAGTCCAAGTCCGCATCCAGCGTCGACGCTTGGAAGGAGGATCTCGACGGCAAACTCGATCGAGGTTCGAGTTGCAGGGCGCATTCCAAGAACTCTTCTAGTCTCACTGGCGGCGACGAGGGTCGCATCAAAGTGAAACGGTGCGCCAATGTCGTCTCCTCTACGGTGATGGAAAAGTGGAAGGAGAGTAGCAGGTGCGAAACGCGCAGCAGATCGATCGCACCGAAAGATCTGAAGAATCCTTTGCAATTTGAAGAGTGCATTATGCGGCAAAACAGCGGCGCTAATGATTCGTCGAAGGATCTCGAGGACAGATTACGGAACGTAGGTGGTCCGGGTGACGTCACTGACGAGGATCTGCCGGCGTACATAGGCAGTCTCCTTGTCACCGTCGAGAGAAAGATCGAGAGGGTCTCGCTCGACGATATGACGTTTCCTTGTCCGGCGTGTAGGAACATAGACACGGACGACCCGCTCTTAGGATGCAGATGCGCTGGCGACGACTGCGGCTGTAGCGTCGGCGAGGATAACTGCGACTGCTCTTCCTCCGTATCCGTCTCGCGGAAAGAACAGTCCGCGAAGAGCTTCGAAGTGGCAGGAATCAAGCATATCGATAGTGACGACGAGGAGGAAGTGCGGATGGGATTTGGTAAGTAATTATCAATATTTTTAATATTTGAACTTTTTGCTTTACGTTAAACTTAACGTGAAATAATAAGAATAACTATTCAATCCTTTTTTTTTTTTTTTTTTTTTTTTTAAATGACCCGAAAATATTTTTCTCCCTTACAAATAATATTTTTATATATATATTTAAAAAGATAAATTATTCGTAAGATGTACATTTATTAATGAATAGTCGAAGGATAATTTACGAGAGTAGAAATCGCGGATACAACGTTAAGTTTCATTTCCGGAATGACCGTTTATCGGGTGTATGCGGTTTATGAAAACTCGCGAATGATTTTTGCCGAGCCAGTACGCTCAGCTGCTCGCATTCGATGAACCCTCTTATGCACGGAAACGCATGTGTGTGCGTATATACGTGTATGATTTACCGACAACTAAACTTTCGCGGCGCGCCGAACTTGAAATTCTGGTCCAAGTACGGCGTAGGCGGCGTACCTTGTAAAGTGGCTACTTCATGTCATGCCGTCTATTGAAAAATCCGAATGCTACTTGTGTGCACCGAATCGGCATGCTTGCACTTCGTTTGTAGCGGTGTGAAAAAGTTCCGCGGTGAGACTCGAATGCGTGTGAATAGAATCGTTGTACTAGTGATGTTATATTCCGATATGCATGTGCTCGCGTGACATGCGAATACACTCGCCTTTACAGCCTGAAGCTGCGACAAAATTTATGATGGAAATATTTCTTGCTGAATAAAATACTGAAAAACCGGAACGTGTGTTTAACAGAGCCTTCTATATTAATTCGTAATTTATTCCGCAATAATATAATATATATATGTGATTTAACATATGGGTATAATTAATTAGGTTTTGAAAATACATATATTAACTTTTTTTTTTTTGCAAATCTTATTTTCGAAAAGATTTCAATTATTATTGGTTTTTTAATTGATAGATAACAATATATGTTCAGAAATATATAGGTGTGGAAAAAATTTATTTATGCTTTTACGGTATCTTAGCCGTCTTTCCACCCTAATTTATTCAAACTAAAGCCATAAAAATTGAATGAATTTTATTTTACTTTGTTTTATATAGAAAATGTAGCATAGCAATTAAATTAATTCTCGATACGATATTTTCTTGAACTTGACCGATTTATCTCGCGAAAAATCTTACTAAAAGATTTTCTAAACTTTATTTAATAAAAATACTTAAAATTATCAATATCTCTATTTTCATCTTTTCCTTATATATATATGTATATTGAATGTTATGCAAATTATATAAAAATGTAAACAAAAAATTATTTTAAAAATTTGACGATTATTCGCAAATCATTAGTAAAAATTAATAATAAATTGAAGATAGTATTTTTTTCTCATTTATAACAAGATACTACACTGACCTACTTTTTATCGTTTATTATCTACGTTTATAATTTAAATTTAAAATATTTAGCTGAAAAACAGCCAACCGATTAATTTTATTTGATGATCAAAATCATTTAAATTAGTTAAAATGAGTCTTATCAATTAGCTAAATGAATTTAATTTCATCGAAACCTGCTTTTGCAATAACGGTAATTATAATTGCTGAGCAACGCGCTCTCCGTGGCATGGTTAGAGTCAAAGGTTCTCGCGCGAAAGCGAGAAATAGCATGAAATATAAATAGGTGCTAACGATCAGCTGATATCGATGTAGCGTCGTTTTTCGCGGCGGATTATTATACTCTGAAGAGAAACTACTTAAGATGCAACTTAATTCGCCCACTTTATTGTTTCTCGCGCTCCATCGTGGAATTTTATTGCTCGGTGTCGTCGGAGGCATGTGAAAGCTAGTAAATTTTATGAGACTCGTTATCGAGACGTATTTATCGAATAACCGACCATTCTCACGCTTTTTCTTCCCGCGAAGAAAATGTCAGTGTCGCTGAAGCTGCCGATGTTTAAAAGTTTTTCTTTCATTGTCCACTAATAGTTTTATTAATTCATTGACCGCGCTATGAACGTTTGTTCGTATAAAAAATTGTCTCTTTTAAATATATTCCTGTTAAGAATATATTTTCTTGAAATTATATTTGTCTCTATTAAAATTTATATTTTTTGTTAAAAAAAATATTATCAGATATACTTTACGTCAAATTAATAACAATATGTGAAGCTATCCATTTATCAATTATATTCTCTCTATAAATATTTATTATGATTTTATTTGCAATATTTGCAAAAGCGCGTGTGCGTATTTTTGTTTCTTACATTTAGATTTTCATCTTTTCTTTACTTGCTCGCGACTCGTGGCATTTTTCGTAACACGACCGCTTACGGGGATAAAGAGGAGGATAAATAGTGAATCGTGATATATCGCTGCGAGCTTCTTCATTGCCGTCCTGCATATCTGAAAGTTTTCCAATCGGATTGAAGCGTTTCGGAGTAGACGAGCGACCCGTGTTCCGCGCGGGTTGATTGAACGTCTCCCGAGCACACGGGCCGGCTATACTTAGTAGCTCATTGATCGTCCCCACTGCGGCCCTCAATCATATCTACTTAAGCGGGAATCAAGCGGCTTCCACAATGGAGGCTGTTCACCTCTCATGGCGCGGCGCGGCCGTTCGATGCGCTATATCACATCGGGTGTAGAACGAGAAAGCGAATCATCATTGGTTCGGACAATCCGTATTTGCCGATTATACTCATCGCGTTGAATCCCGCGGGATTGCTTGTTTGCACGAACTAACAGAATGATTGCCAACCGTTTGCCCGAGGCTGTTACTTGCCTATCGGGACGGTTATCGATTTTTCGTTTCTTACGCAATTCAATTACGTTGCAAGACAATTGGATTAATTCCGAGTTTTATTACGCTTGTCGACGATGATTGAGCTGGATGAGCTTCGCTTCGCGGCATTCATTTGCTATAAACGTCGTCTTTTTAAACATTAACGTGATGTTTTTGATTAGATTATTGTTGATCGTAAACTTCAGAAATCGCAACTATTAATTGAAAAATTTAATTCTTAAATTAATCCTGAATACATGACTTCTGTTATTATTTTAATTCAAAGATCTGACATAAAAAAAGAGATATATAAAAGTCTCATATTTTCAAAACGTACGTAAGGAAGATATTAAACAAGCATCTTTTCTTTACTTGCTCGCGACTCGTGGCATTTTTCGTAACACGACCGCTTACGGGGATAAAGAGGAGGATAAATAGTGAATCGTGATATATCGCTGCGAGCTTCTTCATTGCCGTCCTGCATATCTGAAAGTTTTCCAATCGGATTGAAGCGTTTCGGAGTAGACGAGCGACCCGTGTTCCGCGCGGGTTGATTGAACGTCTCCCGAGCACACGGGCCGGCTATACTTAGTAGCTCATTGATCGTCCCCACTGCGGCCCTCAATCATATCTACTTAAGCGGGAATCAAGCGGCTTCCACAATGGAGGCTGTTCACCTCTCATGGCGCGGCGCGGCCGTTCGATGCGCTATATCACATCGGGTGTAGAACGAGAAAGCGAATCATCATTGGTTCGGACAATCCGTATTTGCCGATTATACTCATCGCGTTGAATCCCGCGGGATTGCTTGTTTGCACGAACTAACAGAATGATTGCCAACCGTTTGCCCGAGGCTGTTACTTGCCTATCGGGACGGTTATCGATTTTTCGTTTCTTACGCAATTCAATTACGTTGCAAGACAATTGGATTAATTCCGAGTTTTATTACGCTTGTCGACGATGATTGAGCTGGATGAGCTTCGCTTCGCGGCATTCATTTGCTATAAACGTCGTCTTTTTAAACATTAACGTGATGTTTTTGATTAGATTATTGTTGATCGTAAACTTCAGAAATCGCAACTATTAATTGAAAAATTTAATTCTTAAATTAATCCTGAATACATGACTTCTGTTATTATTTTAATTCAAAGATCTGACATAAAAAAAAGAGATATATAAAAGTCTCATATTTTCAAAATCATTTTTACGTAAGGAAGATATTAAACAAGAATAATTTTATGTATATCTTAAAATCTAAAACTGTATGTAGGCTAACAGTAATAAAACACTATATATGCTAACATTAACAGTACATAAAAAATCAATGCTTAGAAATAGTCTTCTACATTTTTTCTCTCGGAATAAAAATACGGAATTTATTTAGAATTGCTATGAAATATTTAGAAAATTTTATTTTATATAATCCTAAAATTTCTGACATCTAAAATTCTTTTTTATGTCAAGTCTTTGATTATTTATTACTATTCTGTCTACTTTCACAGAATTCCCATATTATCAATTGTCAAAGCGTATCCTGGATCGTGAAAAGGGAAGTTGTCGCTATTAATCATAATGCAGATAATGATCAAATTGCCATCACACACACGACATCGTAAAATCTGGTAGCGCAGTCGCCGGTGGATCTTTTGATCCGACCGTGAATAAAGCGATCTTCAACGAGCCGAATAAATGCCGTCACATTACACGGCTCATTACGCTATGATGTTATTTACAAACGCCGCGTATACTATAGAAAATAAAGAACAACGCAGCGGAAGTCCATTAGACGCTTCCTCTTATTAATACGCGGCCTCTTGTGTGTGTGCCGGTTTTTTTTTTGCACGGAAAAAAATCTCTTACCTGATTGAAGTGATATCAGCCGTAATGTGCACATGTAAAAAAAAGTTTACAGCGTTTACGAATAGGGTGAAATGTTACAGTTAATATTTAGCGCTGGATATTAATATATATGACATTAAAGGATAATATAATTTTTATAATTTTTCTTATTGTTTATTATATATATTATATGCATCATTATAATAAACAATATATATATATATATATATATATTGCATCTGAAAATTGTTTTCATACAAATATAAACAAATTTATGTATACAAGTAAATTACGAGGTATTATAGAGATGTGAGACGAATATTAAAACGTCTCAAATTTTACAAACTTAGTTTATTTTTTTTATAAAATTATTGTGCGTTTGTTGAATAAAATTTATGCAGT